TTTTTTTTTTTTTTTAATTGGAAGGAAATTCGCTTTTTTTTTCTCCCAGAAATTATACCCATCTATTCTCTCTTTTAATTGCTAATAATAATTGGTAAATTTCATTATTTCTTTTAGTATTTGTTTTCTACAAATTTAGGCGTAAAATTTAATTGACAGAATGAATTTTTGGACTTAAAATATGTACAAAAATGTTATTACACTTTTTGAATTATTTGAGTGGAATAAGAACAAATGAGGAAATTAAATCAGACATGTTCTGTCATTTAATTTAATTGGATTTAAGAATATTGAAAATTTAAATTGACAGAATTGTTTCTAATCTGCTTCTTTGTAGTTTAGGAATTTATTTCCTAAAATTTCATGCTCCATCCCTAAATTAAAACCAAAAATTTTGTCAAATTGCAAATGATTGAAATACAATGAAAAGTTTTTAAAATGAAAAATATGCCACAATTAAAACTTTTCAAAAGTAAAAATTTCAAAATAGAAGTGTATGAAGGTCATATAAATTAAAAAAAGCTCATGGGAAAATTTTTTTTCTTTTATATCAAACAAAAATTGGCGCAACAAGTTGTTTTATCAAATTTCATTTTATATCCCTGAATTAAAATTAAAATTTCAAAGCCTTTGATTTCATGTCTTCATATCGAAATCTTTAATTCACTGCCATATAAAATATCGGCATATTTTTGAACTTCTCCCATATTAGTCGCTATATTTATCCATCTTTTCCTATCTCATATTCATATCTACATTAATTCACAAGGGAATAAAATAGCTCTGAACTTCAATCTAAAACTTCATAGAACTCATTCATATGCAATTAATCTAAGTCTACCCATAACTTTCTTTAATCTATCCTCTTCTTTCTTCTAATCTTTTTCCTTCCCTCTCTCTCTCCCTCTCCCTCTCCCTCAACTCCCTTTTTAGCTTATTTTTCTTCAAACATCCTCATTTGATAATTATAATTCTCTCTAATATTTTCTATGAAAATGAGAAAGTAATTCAAACTTATCTTCTCTAATATCATTATCATGTCAATTCTTCTCCTTTATTTAACTCTAGCTACCATATTATCCTTTCATTACAGTATATTACACACATTTCAATATTTCTAGTTTATAAAGAAAAAAAAACATTGAAATAATTCGTTTTGTTAGATAGATTCTTTTCTGGAATAGCGATAAAAAGATAGGAATCATATTTATAATCAGATATCAAAAATCAAGTATTACTGTATGAGTAAATATGCAGTGATTTGCATGCATACATAATTTTCGAAACGGACGAATGGAAAAACTTCTATGGAACGCTAAATTGATGACAATGAATTTTTCCTGATGTTATTCTGATAGTAAATAATTTAATTAAAAGATGTCCTAAACTGATTATTTTGAATCAAAACTTTAAAAATTTTTGCTAAAATCAAGGAAAATGTAAATCATTTAAAGATATGAAAGAGACAGATGCAATGCTTTATAATTATTATCCCTCGAAAATAAATCAATCAATGATAATTACTGTCATGCAATTAAAATAAATTCATTTTGTTAGTAAGATATTCTTTTGTAGCATCTGGTTTTAATGAATATAGTTTAATACGATAAGCTACATGCAAATGTTCCGTATAATTTAGGAATTTATCTAAAGTTTTTTGAAACAATAATAATAATGCACTAATGGGATAGAGACAGCGCATGACGCAATCAAATGTTTCATCAATTCGAAAATTAAAAAAAAAAAAAATAAATACAAATAGAATCTGAAGAAGCATGGGCAAAATATTTTTAAAGACTGTTTTCAGATGGTTTGAGATTTGTGGAAGAATATACCTGAATGCATAAAAAACTGAATATACCTGAATGTATGCAAAACTGAATATACCTGAATGTATGCAAAACTGAATATACCTGAATGTATGCAAAACTGAATATACCTGAATGTATGC